GGTCATTTGATTTTGTTTTAAAGAAAAATGGGTTTGGTGGGGAATGTCTTTAAAACATTTATTTGCAACCATAGGTGTTAGCAAAATGCAAATGATATTTTCTGTTGTCTGATGAAGATAAACATGTAATGAAAGGAAGATAAGAAAGCACATACTGACAAAGAGTGCTATCAAAATTAGATGGAATGTATTGGCCTCATATGGACTGCGGTAATTTTATTTGGTAGGGAATGTGATTTAAATGAGGTAGGCATTTTGTCATTCTTGTGATTGCTGTGGACATACAGATGCAGCCCATCAAGAGCTCTTTTGGTGATAGAAAACATTTGTGAGATGTTCTAAAAGAACTAAACAAATGTGTACATTGTAAATCAAGAATAAGATAGACAATGAATTCTCCACATTTAAGTATATGAATTCCAAGTTATCATGATTATGTAGACACAGAGGCAAAAAATGAACAAAACCTTCTAATAAACCTACTAATATTCAAACACATTTCAAAATCCTTCTAAATCTGTATCTAGCTTATAAGATTCCAGAAACTATGTTTGACTTATGGTAGAAACAAAATGCTAGGCTAGATTGGCAATTATTTTAAATAAGCAAAACAGCTTATTCCTAATATAACATTTCTAGTGGCCTTCATAGGAAAACTGTATATATAATCACACGGCTTGTCTTAGCCATATTATCCTTTGCTAATGGGTAAACACAAGATTAACCAATTAGACTTAAAGTCTAGGATGCCCATGGCTTTACACGGATACTGAAATCCCTTAATGATCTAACTAGAAAATTTTTGGACAAACTATCAAAAGACTAGCTTGACTACGATACCTCAGAACAAGTACTGTGGAAGAATCAGAAATACTTAATAGAGTCAGACAATAATCTATCATCAGATTAATCTTTGTACTTAGAGGGTCTCTAGGATACGAAGATAGCAAGAGCAAAAAGTGTTCATTGGCTTCGAGGAGGATCTAGCAATCATAAAGGATCCCTAAACTTATTTGCATGAAGGATCAATCCTGTCAAAAAGGAGAGTCAGATAGTCCTCAATTTATGACCACAGTTGAGCCCAAAATTTATACTGCTAAGCGAGACCGTTGTTAAAGAGATTTTTGCCCCATTTTCTTGCTACGGTTCTTAAATAAATCACTGCAGTTGTCAAGTTAGCAACACGGTTGTTAAGTGAATCTAGCTTCACCATTGACTTTGTTTGTCAACCAGGTCGCAAAAGGTAATCACATGACCCCAGGACACTGCAACTTTCATAAATATGAGTCAGTTGCCAAGCATCTGAATTTTGATCACATGACCACGAGGATGCTGCAATGGATGGATCGATGAAAAATGTTTATAAGTCACTTTTTCAGTGCCCTTGTAACTTCGAATGGTCACTAAACAAACTGTTGTAAGTCGAGGGCTACCTACATTGATCAAGATATCAAGACAACTTTGTTTAAACTTTGCAATATAGAAGTAAAAAATGAAAAATGATTTGTTCCTAGGTTTTCCTATGTAGTCCTGGCAGTGGCAGCTATTATAGTGGACATTCTACCCAGAGTATATTAAGACATGATGGAGATATGATAGACATGCTACTCAGCAATGGAAATATTGAGCCATTATGTTTAAAGGATAAACCGACATTTAATAGATCTCTCTCTAAATATTTTGGGATGCAGTAATGGTAGGCTGTCCTTAGTGATATTGAAGGATTTCATTGAATCTTTTAAAATGAATTAATCCAATATGTGTTTCCCAAATCATAATTTTGTTCTATTGTCCTTTGGATTCTGGATTTGATCCTCTAGTTTTTCTGGACCCTACACAACAATTGTCTCCTCAAAATGTGCTCAGAAGATGTGCCTGTCAGAGAAAATTGCATCCAGTAGGTGAACAATGTGCAAAATACGTTATAATATATGACACGGCACCAAAATCCTTGCAGGACTATCTTCTCCGATTAGTTTTGGCCTCCTGATTCATACATGATGGGGAAAACTGCTAGCAGATCCTCATTTTTATGAGGTGACGGCAACCATCTTGTAGGTGTTGGATTGTTGTTTTTGTTGTTGTTGTTGTTGTTTTCCTCTCAACTGGAGCACCTGCACTGCAAAGAGTCTCTCTTTGGTGAGTAGATCAGCCCCCACATTGCTGGTTTTCCATATGTTACTGAAAACAGAATTATTTCTGACAGCCTGGGGAGGTTGAATTGATGCTATCAGTGGTTGGCTTCTGTTTGTGGTAGGGCTTGTTTTATTTTTGTTTTTAACTACTGATTTAATTATATCACTATTATTTTATAGTATTATCCTTTTTATGATTTCATTGTAAACTCCAAAAAGGCATTTTGATTGTGGCAGATATAGATCCAGCAAAAAAAAACCACAACACATAAGTAGGGAAAGCTACCTAAGGGTTGAGTGTTTGTTTGTTTGTTTGTTTTGCACATTTCTAAATGGAGGAGAATATATGACCCTATTCCTGAAAAGTATCACATGTGAAACATAAATTCAAGCCATCATTCCTCTTAGTTTTTTCCTCTTAGCAATTAGTGCAGGTATATGCTAGTTTTCATTTATACATAATTGCAAGGTAAATTAGAAGGGAATGACATGACCGAATACAGGAATGCTTAATCGTTCCAGCTGTTTCTGTTACCAAAACAGTATTGATACACCAAGAGGAGATGCCGATATGCTTGGAAAAATTAAAGTGAAGGCATTAAAGTTGGCAGGAGGGATAACAGAACACAGTGTCAGAGGTGTGTTTTATTAATTAGAAGACTTCTATCTAGCACCAGTTCAATCCAGCAGGACTTCATTCCTCTAGATCAGGGGTGTCAAACTGGCAGCCCACGGGCTGGATGTGTCACATGCAGGCCACGCTCACCCCTGCTCTGCAAAGGCAAAAAACGTCACGACATGTCATATGGCGCGATTGAGTTTGACACCTGCGCTGTATGTGTACAAAAATTAACAGGGTTTGTTAGTGGTGGAGAGCAATTCAAAAGCTGTATCTCCCTTAGCCATCATGTTTGTCTGAAATTGGTGGCAGAGTTCAGAAGTCTGCTAAAACTCTAACTGGATCCTGCAGTCCTGAATTCTGCCCATCTCTGATTTAAAAAAAGAAAACCGTATCAGAATCTGCCTTGCCCTGAATTGGATTTGTAGTTGATCTAATCGTTACCGATTGACATTATCCTCAGAGACCTTTCCCAGCTAACTAGTTAAGCTGGGGATTTAGGTTGGAGCTTTTTAAATCTGCATATTTATTTATTTATTTATTTATTTATAAGTTATTAATTGCATATTTTGCCCATCCCACCATCAAAGTGAGTCTGGATAGCTTACAATACAGTAAAAACGCAGATATAAAAATATTTTTAAAAAAAATTAAAATTCATTAAAATAAAACGAGGAACTAAGTTCACAATCAGTATGGAGGTGGCTTCTTTGTACTCTACCAGCCATTTCCAACACAAAGTATCCTCATTGGGGGCCCAGGTCAATCAATAGAGCCAGGTTTTGAGGTCCTTAAGGAAGGCCAAGTGGGTGGGAACCAATCTCATCTCCAGTGGTAAGATGTTCCAAAGGGCAGAACCACAGTGGAAAAGGCTCTTCTCCTAGACCCCACCAGCCAGAATTCCTTAACCCCTGGTGTCCTTTCTGGTGGAGCAAGTGGGGCAGGCCAATCCCATTGGGGCAAAACCGTTTCTCACATAATCTCTCCTACCACTGAGACCTTTTGAGATTATTTCTATACTTCAATGGCCTGTACTCTCCCAGATTTTGAAATTTCATAGGGAAGTAGTAAAGACATTTAACCAAGTGAAGTACAAACATTTAGGTATGTTGTGTAATTATATGACATGAAAGAAATGTATTCATTGTGATGTAGCCAATTTTCCCTTGTTCATGCTTGCAGCTGCTAAAATTATCACTAGATTAATGCCTCCTTGAGATATTTTTACCTGCAAGGGTGTGTCAAATAAACCTCAAATAGAATAAGATCAAATTCAAACAATTTGCCCTTTGTACAAAAATATTATCCACACTTCTCCACCAAACCTACATGCACAAAGACTTCCCAGTGCATGTTTACTTTTCATTTTCCCATGACAAGTATTGACTTACCAATCATTTCTTTTTTTAAGTGCCATTTATAATTCCAAATGGCATATCTTTAGAATTATAGCCAGATGCGTGCCAAAGGAATAGTAGAACTATTTCAGACTAAATGCAAATATTTCTCAAATGCAGATACATCTGCTCTTTTATGTCATTTTATTTAGAATGCCAGGAAAACTTGAACTCACAAACAAGTGAGTAGATATTATATAATTTCATTTTCATTCCCTAATTTTTTATTTATTCAATTTTTCCATCAAAAGAACTTAGAGAAAATAACAATATATTCTTTCTTACCATTTGATATGCCACATAAACTTTAGCCCCCAAAACATTACTTACTCTTGCTTTAAAACAAATACTATTTCATCACTGCTTTGTCCAATCAAAGTAGCACCTTTGTTCTTTTAACAACCCAGTTTATGGAGATGTATTTTCTGTCTGAATACCTCCCTTCTATATTTCTTATGAAGATACATTACAGGGAAATAATATTGATGTCCAGATTTTGTTTGGAAATGACTGCATATTGTGTATCTGGGGGAAGGATGCAGAGACGATATAATTTTTTTTTTAAAAAATGGAATATTTGATAAAACAAGAATATATAATATTTAATCACACTGTAACAATTTGAGCCTATATGTCAGTCTAGACTAATTTTTATAATCCTTTTTAAGAACTAGACATGTTCTTCCTGTAAACCTTGAGATATTCAAAAGAAAATTATAAAGATTTCATGAAATAAAATACCTGTGGCCACTGCTTGTTAATTATGTAGCGGTTTGCTTTAAAATTCTATAGTCTTTGCCCATAAATTTTATGTGTAAATGTTTGTTGATTTGTCTGTTTGACTATTAGTCTCTTCCAGCCTGTTACAGTCATGGAACACCAGCAAAGTATTAATTTGGAAGAAGAATTTGAAGCTCCAGAAGCTATACATACAGGTAATAAAGTCAAAATATCCCTGGTACAAACGAGAAATAACTGCTTTCTGGACACCTTGTTTAACACTGAATTGTAGTGCAGTAGCAAGAACATGTTGTAGAATAGAGGAGACATGTAGAGTTAATTCAATGTATATATAAATTCAAAATAATTTACACACAAACACACTAGTTTGGGAAAGGTGGCAGGAAAGTTAAAATGAGAATGACTAAGAGCAAAATGGATGGACACAATGGCATCATCTCTAAATCTGAAGAACCAGGCTGGGGAAGATTATCCTGGACAAAAATCTATCTTCTCAGCCTTTTGGCTAAAATCCAGTGTAGGATCTCTATGATTATTAAGAGCCAACACTAACTTGTTGGTACGTAATCAGTGTATGGCCACAGAAAATGTTTGTTAAAATGATACTTTAAGTATGAATCAGACAAACTAAAAGAGAGTCATCTGTCATCTAATTTATATGCTGCCCATTTCACTATCCAAAGCGACTCTGAGAAGTTGACAATACAATTGAATTTAGAAAAGCTTTTGTGGATATTTCTTTTCAATAATAAGGCAATATTTTTCAGACTCTATTAGGAGATATCTGCCTATGCATCTACTTTTCTATTTTCCTCACTAACCTTCTTTCTTTAAACCTCTGTTGAAGCATCAAAGGAATTGATAATTAAAAAAGAAAAGAAAGTAAATCCAAAGAATACTAAATGAACAAATTTTCTTCTTCTAGGACCTAAAGGGGTGATCAATGACTGGAGAAAATTTAAATTGGAGAGCCAAGATGAAGACCATCTTCCTCCAAGCAAGAGAGAACTGCTTATCAGGCAAATCTCCTCACCCTACAAATGTCAAAGCAGAGATCACAGAGACACCAGAGAAAAAGTCAGTCGTAAGGTAAATGAGGGGAGAAAGACAATATAATGGAAAGGACGCATGGGGAAAGGTCTTAGATAGTTTTTCCGTATATTAAAGGAATATGGGTAGGCTTGTTGTGCTAATGCACATAACAATTACATTTTCTCCATGTATGTCAGATGTCAGATGGATATAGCATCATACATGATTTGAAATCAGAACTGTTCCAGGCAAGAGAAGATGGAGCCCATTTAATAATGGTTTGTGTATAAAAGCCATGTCATACGTTCCACATTCCTAGAAAGTATGGAGGAGAAATCTGTGTTGACCCCGTAGTTTCCCTCTTTTACTTCCTGGAACATATAAGTGGGATCATTTAAACATCTGGAATAGTGTTGGGGATCTTTTAGCGGTTGAAATTTGCCATCAACTCCTTGGTGTAGCCTAGAAGAGGGATGCTGGGAGCACAGCAAAATCTGGAAGAAAAGGTTTTGTTTTTTTACCTGCCATAGAACCAAATTGGAAGGATTTCTCTGGAAAATAGTTTTCCCTACTTTTACATTTTACTAATATTTTACTAGTTTTGCAGTGTTAAAGATGCAAAGAACAAGGGAAATGTATTCTCGAAGATAGACTGAATATTGAGATATGACCATTTTATAATTTTACCATGCCCTGCATTAGCCAACTTGTGGAAAATTTTAATGGTAACTACTCACCCAGCTCCAAATTATTGGCAAAAACTAGTGATGTTTCTTGACAGTGCACAACTAGAATAGAATCCTCATTGTTCCAGAACTAGATATGGCTTATTATCATACCCTGTACCAATGGCATGTTTGCTTGCCTGATTCAGTTTCTTAGTTGAGGTGCCTATATTGTAGTCAACTCACTTTCATTTTGTGACAATATATACTAGTAGAAATAATCCTCCTGATGGTGCTGCCAACATTGGATGGACAGCTTGCATCAGGATCAATGCCCTACCAACAGATGCCCATTGGAATAAATGTATTTACATAGAAGCTTTTGAACTTTCAGTGCTGTTCTTTGAGTACAAAGTGTTTTATTTATGTTCTATGAGATCGCATGTAACCTCATTTTGTGCTTGGCAATTAAATCAGCACTTGTAGTTCAGCGTATTCTTATAATTATTTGTAGATGAGTGTGCAGGAATATGAGTTGTTGAATGTCGAAGAAGATGAGGATTGTTTACAGCAATACCGGAAGAGCTGCATGAAGAACATGCACGAGCGACTGAGCTTTGCGCCAAGGCATGGCTACCTTTCTGACTTGCAGGATGGGAAGGAATTCCTGGAAGCTGTGGAGAAGGAACACAAAGCCACCACCGTAATTGTCCACATCTATGAAGATGACATCAAGGAGTGTGAGGCACTCAACAGCAGCCTTACTAGCCTTGCTGTTGAGTACTCCACTGTGAAATTTTGCAAACTCAAGGCTGCTAACACAGGGGCAGGAGACCGTTTCTCCAGTGATGTTCTTCCAACAATACTTGTCTACAAAGGTGGGGAGCTTGTAAGCAATTTCATTAGTGTAACTGACCAGTTGAATGGAGAATTTTCTGCTAAAGATGTGGAGACTTTCTTAAATGAATATGGGTTACTCCCTCAGAAAGGAATTCCAGAACCTGACAATGGTGACATGAATGATCAAGAAATTGAACAATAGATAAGTTATCTAGTATTTCATCATCTGTGCTCAGCGAATTTTTAGTTTGGATCCCATTTGGGGCCAAATTTATTTAGGAAATGCTGCATATAGATGCAGTAGAAAAGACTTATTAAGAAAGTATAGAAAGCTATAAAAGAAATAAGGGATGTCCAGGACTTAGCCTGATGACCCATTTTAATTTTTTCCCATTCTTTTCATTTTTACAAGAAATAAAATTAGGATTGGTGAAATCTTCCTTCCAAGCTGTAAATCACCCAATTGTAATTATAGCCTTTGCAGTATGAATGATTTTCAGAGACCAGTGCAGATAGATTAATACTTACGACATTAACTTTGAAAGAGTAGGAGTAGGAAGTGAGATTGTTTTAATTCTCATTGGAAGGAATTTGGCTAAGGTAAAACACATATAGAAATTGACAGGGCCCTCAAATATAAGATATATTTGGATGGAGCTACTAACATAAAACTTTCAGCTAATACTCAAAAGGAAAGTTTGATTTATTAGAGATGCAAAGCATTTGCCACATTAAGGGTAAAGACTCCTGGATTAACAGCTCCTGCTCAAGAAACAGGTGACAGCTATGGCCAAAATGGCCTTTACACAGATTCATCTTATATTGTATACCAATTGCACCCATTCTTGGACCAGGAAGCCCTCCTCACAGTCATTCATGCTTTGGCCAACTTGCAGGAGCTATTCATGGGACTTTCATTGAAGACCCAGAAACTGCAACAGCAGGAATGATTATGAACATGCCAGATAATATCTATATAATTCTGCTGCTTGGTGAGCTGTAATGACTGCATGTAAGCATTGGGGGTGTGATCCAAGGTACAGTGATCAGCTATAAAGCCCTTTAAAGCATAGGGTCTGGTTATTTGAAGAGCTATCTATTTCTATGATGTCTGCCCATTTCTCATGGGCAGTAAAGTAAGTCACTTTAGTAGCAACACCTGATGCTTGTCTGAAAAACAGGCACAATATGAAGTGTGCTTTTCCAATATTTCATTACAAAAACTTAACTAAAGATCATAATTTGATTTGACAATGCTAGCCAAAAAAAGAGACTTGAAAAATACTATATTTGGCTTGTGCTGTTTGGAAGGCATCATATGGCATTAACTGCTAATCAAATACATTATCTCTCCAAATCTGTACAGAAATTAAAGAGCATATTTTAACTCACTTTTAATTGTGCGCAATTAGTAACTTAGGTTAGTGCTGGAAAATGTATAAATAAAATGTAAGCATGCATTAAAACACTTCTTTATTAAATATTGTATAATGTCACTTGGTAAATTAAAACAATGTGTTTGTAAAACAATTATCAATGACTAATCCTTTCTATTTGGAGCTGATGTAATTAAAGACTAGTGAAAACATACCTTTTAAATGGGTCCATTCTATTTTTTAATATGTGCATACAGACAATATAAAAAACAATTAAGAACAAGCAAACACTGATTTTTCCATGTATTTAAGCAGCTGTAATGGGACAAACCATCACTCCAACCTCCCTATTTGTAGACAGGAGATGAGATAATGCAGTTGGGGCTAGTGCTTCTCCCCCAGGCACGATCAGTATATAATTGTGAGAAAGACTCAGAAAAAAATTTTTAGTTTCTGCTTTTCTTTGGGAGAAGAGCTACTATTCTAAGAGGGGAGGGAGATGGGAAGGAGAAGGGGAAGAGGAAGGGAAGGGACCAGAAGGAAAGAGTTAATGACTTCTTCTGGTTTTGTCTTTACAACCATTAGAGTACACTCTCTCATCTAGCGTGATTCCCCAGAAGATTTCATTTACTAAAAGTGAAGTAAACAGGAACAGTTGTGCAATGTATATTAAATAACAGCCTTAAACAGAGTGACTAATTTCACAGTAAACAAAGGACAAGAGATATGCAATTATTAAAGAGAAATGGGAGAAAAATAAATAAATTACTATTTCAGAACTCTTTATACTTTTATTGCACATCTGTATCGGTGACAGAGAACTTAAGTTACATTTATTCTCTAAGTGATGTTCCAGGACGGTTAGACAGCCAGGCAGATAGTTAAGACAGTTACAACAACCCCTATATCAGGTTGACATTCACTTCTATTGAGGCTGCCCTCTTCCTTTTGAGAAATATTGGAAGTAAAGCCCCATAATCTCCAGTTCAACTGGTTGGCAATAATTGAGCAGTGGTCTAACATATCCGAGAGGCAGAAAGTTGAATGAAAACTATTCCGGCTCAATGGGTGGGCTGCTCTCAGATTCCTTGCAGGCTGTGGATCTCTCTGGAATTTGCCAGACAGAACCAATTTCACGGAAGTGAAACCACAAAAGACAAACCACTATCACCTTGTTTCTGTTCCAACTTACTCTACTTTCAGATTAACGTATAACAGACATGAGGATGACAGTGACTTTCCACCCTGCCCAGTGGTATCCTTTCCTCAAAGATCAGTAAAAGTTAGAGAGAGAAATAATTCATAAGTATGCAGGAAGTAGATGCCCCAAAAACTTAGTAAGCCTTAATGCTTAGAAATGTTGAAATGCAGAGAAAGATAAATGATTTGGGGGCAAAAAATGGCAGGTGCCCTGGGATTATTTATCTTGCAAGTTCAAAACATTTTTAGATGTATATTAAAAAAAAACACTGGCCAACTTGAAAAAAAATCAGTTTAAAAAATTGAAATATAGGCATGTTCTAAAAGTATTAATATACAGTGATCATATATCTTGAGGACAAGGTGGAAAAGTAGATAAACCTGGACAAATCTTAGGGAAAAAAAGGGTTTGGTCCTAAGAAATAAAATACCTTCACCCATCCCTGAAAATATAAAAAAAAGGTCAACATCATAAGGCAAGATTTTAGAAAAGCATTTAACATATAAAATTGAACCCAAGACCTTTTCATGGCAAGTGGTGAACCATTAAAGGGGACCCATAGAAGCAATGGAAAATGAAAAAAAAAAACCAGCTAGAAGAGGAATAAAGCTATAGTAGAAAGGTATTCTTCTCTCAAATGGTATTTATTCACTTTCCTTCTTGTTTTTTCCTTAATGGAGTTAAATGTAATGGTTATTTCCAAATAGTATTTGATAGATGAGACAAGTTGGGTTCCTGGCAAAATGTTGGTGGCCGTGCTTCCTTTTATATATATATTTTAGACAATTTATCTATTTCATGGATGAACAGGTAGTACTTCAGTTTGATTTGTATTTGTATTTTTGATTTCTTAAATCAAATATAGGATTTCTAGATTGATCATCTCCTGGCTTACATTCTTTAGCTGTAAACTGGGAATAATCATAAAGTTCAAAAATATAGAAAATTTACTATTCTGCATATATATGTTTGTAGAAATGAACTGGGTACACTATTTTTAGACAAAATGTTGTCTATTATACAAGATTTAGTGCTATTCATTTAAAACTGAATAGCTTCCATCTAGGCTTCATATAGCAGACTCTGAAGATTTAAAAGTATATAAAATATGTAGAACATTAACTATATCCCATTGTATCCATAACATAATTTTAATAGATCTAGTTATAAATGTGTATAAAAATAACATATAACTAACCAAGCATGCACCAACATGTGTTCTTGGGGAAGTCTATAAACTGAAATTGTCAGCACTCACCCAGATGGAACTAACCAAGCTTCTGCATATTACGATTCTCCAAGGAAACAGTATAGGCTTAATCAAACTTAAATTAAGGCTTTGGTGGCTCCATCAGGATTTTGGCAGGAAAATGAGAAGATCACAAAGGTGGCATTCAGAAATCCTTTTTCTTTTCAACCAAGGACAGGTAACAAAACTGAGTCAAGTGTGGATTTATGGCCTTCAAAAAGTTCCTTTTCAGCAAAGATAAGAAAAATCAGGAGTTGTGGCCAAACAACATCTCAAGGATATATTTTTAGTTTTTTTTAAAAGAGAAACCCTGCAGAGTAAGCCAAAAGAAAATATATTTGCTTATATTCTCCCCTTTTTTCTCTTGCATTCACACACTAAACTTTGACAACATATCCAATTTCTTTTCCATTTGGTCACAGAACCTGATGGAAAGATATCTTCTCATGACAGCAAAGTTCTGCATGCAGAACTCATTGAAAGAGTTATGTATTTGGTTAATCAATATATAGAAGTATGTATGTTTTCTACACAATGAGGCCAATTAGCTCAGCATTTAAGTCATTTAGTTGAATTTCTAAAGGCGCTAGGGCCTGTTACAAAACACCTGAAGTAAGAGCTATCTAGTTATTTCAGCAACTTGGGGAACAGAGAAGGTGTAAGAAGAAAAAAAGATGGTGCCCCCATCAGATTATTGTTAATCAGTGGTAGTTCTCCAGGATTCTTTCCCATTTCTAATTAACTGAGCCTTAATCTGGGATTTCCCAAACGCAAACCATGTGTATTATTAGTGAGTTATAGCTTTCTGACATGCTACCCACGGTATGCTGACACAGAACAGGTCTTGAACCTATGCTCTGATTCATCAGATACATCATTATATACTTTTGACCAAGAGGAAATTGCAGTAAGTCTAGACTAGGAATATAAAATAATTTTGCCCTTAATCTTCTTGGAAGAAATTGATTTGGCAGGAACTGATCCTAATGTTATCATAGTAGAATGATAACATAAAATGAAATCTGGCTAGGATTCATTCTTTTCCCTTCAAAGTTGAGTCATTTTAGAAAGTGTGTAAGGTGTAACAAGCTCACGGCCTTTTCTTTATTTTTATGGAAAAATGCCTTGTTTACTCAAAGAAGCTCAAGGCCTGCCCAGAAACTGATTTACTTTTACAGCACTTCCTGGAATTATGTTGTGACTATGCAATACAAGTGAACATAGAAGTAGTAGTTTATGAGAAACACCACACTTGCAGGGGCACTGAGATGTGTTAAAGTGAAAAAACTAATCATCTTATATATTTGCAAAGGAAATTACCCTGTGTAATACATAGAGCTGTACAATTTATGCCCAATATTTAAGAATGCAGACCTACCTTTGACAGAATGGAATGAAAATCTAGCAGGCAAAGTGGAAAACAAACTAAATGTACAGCTATTTGAATTTCCTTATAGCATATCAACCACCCAAAGAAAATCTGCATCACTAAGCTTGAGTAAATCATCTGAATTAGTTTTGCTTGCTGATTTGAGGGAAAATGTAGTTATATACCCTTGAGAATTGCAATTTTCACATTGAGTTACACAGGGCCTACACATTTATCCCAAAGGTACTTTTGCAAGAGGCAACTGCGCTTTCTTGTTTTTCTCTGAAGACGTTTCACTTCTCATCCAAGCTTTTTCAGCTCTCACTGTATGGTGGGGAATAGAAGGGTTATATTCCTTGCAGAGAGCTGGTCATTTGCATTCTTTTAGAGTCATTGAGGCCACTTGGAGATTTATCTGTCTTCAGGGTCGCTTGAGTAATGCAAATGGGTGTGGAGCCTTCTTGGAACTGCTGAAAGGATTGTGTTGTAGACTGTAGATCAGGGGTAGGCAACCCAAAACACTCAAAGAGCCACCAATAACAAAACACCGGGAACCGCAAAACCCTTTTGATATCTAAAATGAAGATAACACTGCATATATCCTTTTTTACCTTTATTATAGGTGTGTTTGTGTATATATACATATACATATATACATATATGTATATACATATATATATATATATATATATATACACACACACACACACATATATATATATATATATATATATATACATATACATATACATATACATATACATATATATATATATATATATATATATATATATGTAGGTCTTTGGTTGTTCGGGTTTTCTCCCGCGTAAAATTAGAAGTGTCTTGGCAAGACACTTCTGAAGATGACGAATGAGACTTCGTCGAAACGTTGCCAAGACACTTCTAATTTTACGCGGGAGAAAACCTGAACAACCAAAGACCTACATACAAATACCCGCGAAAACCTCAGAAAACATTATATATATATATATATATATATATATATATATATATATATATATATATACACATACATACACATATACACATACACACATACATACATACACGACCTGTGCTGTAGATAGATGATGTCATAACCCTCCCCCTCTGTTGAGAAAGGGCTGTTCAATTTTTACATAAATGCCCTCTTTGACCCCTCTTTCAAACCAGCGGTCCTCTCTGTCCAAAATGTGGACTTTGTCTTTTAAACGCAGATGGACTGCTGAATCTTGTCTTGATGGGTTTGTTCTCCTATGTTGTGCCATGCGTTTATGAAGTGATTGTTTTGTTTCCCCAATGTACAGATCTGCATGTCTCGCTGCATTGTATTGCATATACCACATTGCTCAGTTTGTGTCTGGGTGCTTTATTCTTGGGGTGGGCAAGCTTCTG